CGCCCAAGGAGCCCACTGCAACGGATCCCGAGGAACGAGAGGCGGAAGTCCAGGCGAGACAGATTTTCGAGTCGTTCCCACCGGGCTTGCAGCGCGCGCTTGAGAGCGGCAAGCTGGATGAGGTGAACAAGGTCCTTGCTAAGATGAGTGTGGAGGAAGCGGAAGAGGTGGTAGAGAAGCTAGGACAAGGCGGCATGTTGAGTCTGGAAGAGGGCGTGATTGATGCTACGACTGAGGAGGGCCAGCGCGTCATGAATGAGATTGAGAAGAATCGTGCTATGCCTAGTGCGAAGGAGTGATTGGGATAGTAATGTTGTTCTTATCCGGACCAGAAAAAAGGCTGAAAATATGGTATACCATGTCATGACATGTTCAAGGTGAGGCTAATTGTACATTATTCTTTTTTTTCCAAATGCTTGACGCAGTTACCACTACTATCTATGAATACCAATGTTTTCTGTTCCAACACAAAGAAAGATCGAATAGTGAAACGAGGAAAAAGGAAAACATCGTGATTGTAATGACATGACAAGAATAACTACACAATCCACGTGTATGATGATACATAAAGCATTGACGATTGGAGAAGAAAAAAACTCGATAATAGAAAAAAAATAAGCTCTTTATCCTCAATTGATACGTGACGTATATCTCCCTCTCTCTTGCGATCAACCCTTTAAATCAGCTCCGCGAAATTATCGTCAATACCCGCCATATCCCTATCGCCCGCAAAAGCCGCAAGTTCATCATCCGGCGCATTCCGGCTCATCTTCCTCTTCTTGTGCATATTCTCGTACGCCTGGTGTCCGTACGTAGCACCGTCAGCGCCGGGTCTAGCATGCTGGAGGCTCTTGAGCAGATCAGCAGCGACATGCTGGTTGGGGTCGCCCATTGTGGTTGCAAAATCTGGTTGCGTGGTGTGGTGACCGGGTGCAGGTGCGGTTTCAGGGACGACGGGGTGGGCGGCGGGTTCGGGCATGACGTCGTCGCCTATATCGGGGACGGGGTCGTTGCGGGGTGCTGGTTTTTGCTGGGGGGAGCCGGTGGGGGTGAAGGATTCCATGGGTGGGGGAGTGAGTTCTTCGACTTCGGGACGGCCTTGGCCGGTGGGGAAGGTTGCGGTTGCGGGTGAAGTTGCGGCGACGGGGAGAGGTGCAGTCGAGATCTTGTTCTGCTCTGCTGCGGACAAGCCCTTGAGGATTGCCTCCTCGACTTCGCGCTTGCGGCTTTCGATCGCCTCCTTTCTGGTCTTCAGATCGGTTGCCTGCGCCTCCTCTTGCTCCAGTTTTGTCTTGTTCGTCTCAAGCAGCTGCTCCAGGCCAGTGATGAGAGCCTTGCGCGCCTTGATACTCTCTGCGACGGCGCCCTCAGCCAGTGCCAACTTCTTGCATAGGGCAGCGAGACCTGCCGCATGCATGGGCGGGGAGGGAATGGCAGCGTTGGGGTTGGTGAGTTTCTCATAGTCTTGGTTTGCGGTGGTGACAGCGGGCTTGGTTGCAAGATCAGCCTTTTGGAGAGCAGTTGCAAGAGGAGCGACCGAAGTGAGCTCAGGCGGAACGGTTGAACTGGAGAAGAGCGAGCCACCAAGAGCAGGCTTGCGCGTGGACTTTGTGCGATCGATCTCGTCAATAGACCTCTCGATGGCTTGCTGGACGGCCGGGTTGAAGATGGCTCGCTGTCGCCAGACCTCGACCACACGTCGGATTTTGTTCTGTATCTCGTGAGGCGAGCCCTTGTAGGCAACGGTCGTTGCTTCGGCGAGAATGGGCTCGTATGCTTTGAGAAACTCCTCCTTCTTGCGCATCTTGGATGTCTGGGTGATTTCGTTTGCGAGGTAGATTAGGACCAGCTTCTTGTTTGGCGTCGACTCCTTCATACGTTGGAGCCATACAGCAGCAATGCGCTCGGCATGTCGTCTGTAGATAGTCGTATTAGCTTCTAGCTTCCAATCTTGCAAATGCGACGAGTGCGCGCGCATGCGCGTGAGACGCGTTCAAGAGTGCAGCGAATGTCAAGTATGCGAGGCTTTACCTGTGAAAGAGAATCCATTGGCCAACCGTCGAGATGGCATCTTGGGTCTCGTTGAGCGATGAGAGCTTTGCCTTGAGGCTGTCCTCGGTAAAGGCCATGCTTAATGTCTTCACGAATAATTGTTGCAGCTACTGAAGAAAGAATCGCACGCGACCAGACCAACACGACACTCTCAAAGCAGTGGAGACAGACTCTGTAGGAGCTGGCGATACTTCTAGTTGATCAACTTGAGGCTTGCTAGAGCCTGCGACTACAGTGATGACGAACGGATGATGGCAGAAGACAATAGATGAGGCCTGTCGAAGGTGAGGGAGAGCTCGGGGACGCTAACAGCGATGCGGGCTAAACGTAGCTAGGCACTCGCCAAGCCTGCTCCTGGCTGGTGACGGTAGCAATGGGTCAACCACCAACAAGACACTTGGAAGCAAGCAATCGCCGCCAATCCCATCGCTACCGCTTCTCCCTACACCCACCACACACATCACATTCACAATGGCCGACCGATTCCCTTCATTAGACGAGATTGACGCTGGTTAGTTCAGCCATTGAACCCCCGAAGCAGCTCCGCAACACAGTACTGAACATCTCCAGGCCAGACCGAAGCGCGCGGTGATTCAGCAGCCTTCGACCTTGTAGGCGACACTGCCGACGCCGATGACTTTCTCTCACGCGAGCGCGCTCTCCTTGGCGACGACGCCGACCAGTTTGCTTCAGAAAACGACCGGACAGCCACCGTCGAGGATGGAGAGGACGACCTCTTGGGCGGAGGCTTCAGCCAGGCCCAGGCTGGTGGTGAGGAAATGAGTGGTTTCGAGAGCTCCTTCCCTGCCATTGACACTACCAACGAGGTATGTAATGCGCTGCATCCTTGGTTGTAACACGTGTTGCAAGAGGATGTTTCTTGTTAGGCACCGTACTGACTGCAGCAGCACATGGCCCCTGGCGGTACCATTACTGGATCAAGCCTGCCCTTCCTTCCCGGCCAGCCAGCCCCATCATTCACTCCCCAGCGATCAGACTCCCCAGAGCCCGATGTCATTCGAGAGTGGCGCGAGCGCCGCGACCTCCAAATCCAGCATCGCGATGAAGTAGCCGAGGAGCGCAAGCAGAGCACGATCAAGGAGGCCCAGCAAAATATTGACGATTTCTACGAGAACTACAACAACAAGAAGGAGAAGGAGATTGCCAAGACACGGAAAGAGGCAGAAGAGTTTCTTGCAAACCGAGACGACACCACCGCGGGTGGAACCAGCTGGGAACGCATCGCGAAGTTGGTCGACTTGAGTGGAAAGGGTACAAAGGGTGGTGCGTCAGGCAGCGACAAGGCACGGTTCAGGGAGCTGCTCCTCAGCCTGAAGAAGGACGAGAAAGCACCAGGCGCAACCGGATATTAGGGGACGAAAACAGCTGGGTCGTGATATTTTCGGAGCTCAAGGTATGATTTTGGAAAATGCGATCATGTCCGAATATAGCCAGGAGTTCATGGATGGGCTGCCAATTGTTTGCTACGGCTGTGTTAATATCTATTCTCAGAATTCTGACGAGTGCTTTTATGCTCGGCCGATACCAGCAAATGCAAGAGCGAGGTCTGTTCGACACAGTGGCTCTTGACCACACTCACACGAGTATTGCCCTCAATTTCTTCTGGCTGTGTGATTGATGAGCATATCCAGGACTATCTGGGCACTTACGGCCCTTTGGACATGCTCATGCACATATCAAGCGTCAAAACCATTTACTTCGGAGCAAGAACGCCCAACAAAGTGCACTGACGTCATCCCAAAGTAGAAGCAGCGACCTAAATCCACAGGAGCATAAACACGAAGCCACATTATATCACCTGATACTAGCTCTCAGTAAAGTTAATCACTTCTAGGCCCTTGTGATGCCAAATCCCATTTGGCTTCCCGCCGTTAGAGCCAAGGCCTCGCCTAGTGTACTGCAATCTAAACGTTTACGCTTGCGTCACTCTCCTTTCTCCACGTCCCCGGGCCGCATTCCAACCTAGCTGCAGAAAAAGGCTGATAGTAGTATCGAAGGCAACCTCGCCACTACAGTGACACGTGAAACCTGGACCGGCAACCCGGCTGGGTGCTATATGAAAGCTTTATTAATTTCTCCGATGGTGCAGGATTCCCGCCAACCGCCCACCCCCTAGCCGACATCACGTGTGAACGTTTCAATCCGAGACGACGAGTCCAAATCAAAAAGGCTATTACCACCAATCATGACTGCAAATAAGAGTTTGTCTTGTGACTGTCATTGCAGGATGCTAGAGATGCCCGCTTTGGAGCCTTGTCAACTGTACATTCACGTTCGACTGTATTGGCTCTGTTTGCGAAGGGCTGTTTCATTGGTAAACCCAACAACCTACTGTCAAATGACGTCTGTCCAGGATGCCGGCCTTTTCACAAAAAGAATGATACCTTTTATCTCGCTTAACCTCTCCAGAATGCTTTGACCGGGGATAACGGCTTCTCCAAACACTTTACAAGGACCCAAAATAGGCAAGGTGTGCATGTTACTCGACATCACGATGACCCTTTAGCGCGCCAAGTTTTTAATCTACATGTTTTCTCTCACACCCCCCCCCCTTCCCCCCTTCCTTGGTCCCGATGCACCAATGCATGAACCGAGGGGCGTGGGGAGTCTCTCGGAAACATTTGCAATAGTGCTTGTTGTGGTATGTTTGCATAGCAAACTATCGGCTTTTGTATCGTGGAGGAATTAGGTGCCGAGGTTGGTGTGGTGGTACTACTATAAGAGCCTTCACTACCGTGTGTGTATCAATTTATCTCGGCATCGAGGTGGGTTTTGTACCGAGCTAGACTTCTATCCATCTATCTTCTCGAAGTAGCTTATATAGAATCTTCTTGCCTCGACCTTTTTTCCCTCCACTGCACTCCTTGACACCACACTCTACTTCTTCCTCCTTCGATATATTTGGAAACAAAGGAAGAACGACAAAGATGAAATACCTCCTACCCACCCTCGCCCTTGCTGCCACAGCCGCAGCCCACGGCTACGTCTCCAACGCCACCATCGGCGGCAAAGACTACACCTTCTACCAGCCCTACCAAGACCCCTACACCACTGGCGTCAAACGCATCTCGCGCCCCATCCAGGGCAACGGCCCCGTCGAGGACGTCACGCTCACCGACCTGCAATGCGGCGGCTACACCGCTGGCGGCTTCAAGGGCTCCTCCCCCGCAGCTCTCCACGCTGAAGCCGCTGCAGGCTCCGAAGTCAAGCTCTACTGGACACTTTGGCCTGAGAGCCACGTTGGCCCCTCTATTACGTATATGGCACGGTGCCCGGATACAGGATGTGATGCCTATATGCCGGAGTCTGCGTACGTTTCCATTTCCTCTATTTCCACCCCCTTTCCATACTGCTGTTTTGTTGAATCTCAATGAGTCACATCCGTGCTGAACGCAGCGATGACAGTGCCGTCTGGTTCAAGGTCCAAGAAGAAGGACGTCAAGGTACATCGAACAAGTGGGCTTCGGATGCTATTCGCGTGGCGGGCGGATACCTTTCGTATACTATTCCCAAGTGCCTTGCTGCGGGGTACTATCTTGTGAGGCATGAGGTGCTTGCGCTGCACTCGGCGTATAAGTATCCTGGTGCCCAGTTTTACCCAGGATGCCATCAGCTTAAGGTTACGGGGGGTGGTAGCACGAAGCCGTCGTCGGGTTTGGTGAGCTTTCCTGGGGCGTACAAGGGGACGGATGCGGGGATTGCGTATAATGCTTATACTGGTATGTTCTTTTTTCTTTATCGAGTTCATTGAGTGAAGAGAGGGTTGCTAATTCTTGTACAGCGCAAACTTATCCTATTCCTGGGCCGAAGCTGTTTACCTGCTAGATAGTAGGGGGGGAAAGGGGATGAGGGGTTGCGGAGTGTGAGGGAAAGTGTATATAGAGTGAGAGGTGGACTGTAGATATTTTTTGCTTCTGTATATACTTTGGGATTGCTAGAATGGATAGACGTGGTGCCTTTTGACTGCTTACCTACCTTGCTCTATTCATCACAGTCATATCATGTATGCGTTCACGTTTGTCAAGTTAGTATGCAGAGGCATTGCACACCTAGCACTCTCCCCCACTGCTACCGTGTGTGTTTGTCTTTTTTTTTTCGCCTTTCGCGCAGTATGCGCAGTTGATAACCATACAAGTCTGCCTCTTTATTTCCACCTCTCAAACAGACCCTGATTCCTCGCTCACCCCACCCTTGTTTGGTGGATATTATACAGATCATCTGACAGCTGCTCCACACGCGAAAGTGGGTTATCCGTAAAGCGGGCTCTCGACGAAGTGGATTGTAGAAGAGATATGTGGTTCGAGAAGTGGGTTGCTTCCAAGGCGCCTATGTAGTGTGCCTCACAAAGTGGATACAGAAGAAGTGGGGGAAGGAGTACAAAGAGTCACAAGAGGCTTCCCCCTCGATACACACATCCAGCATATACCCAACACGTAGCATACAAGGATAGGCCGCCCTGTATTTTTGAGCGACGACTCCACTTCGTAGTTGTACGTGGAAGAGGGTTGTGATGGGGATGCGGATGGGGATGGGAATGTAGGAGTGGTGACTGCGTGTTTCCGGTCTGAGTTGATAGGATGGCAATACTTTTCCAGCTATGTTCCAGCAAATCCTACACAGCTTGCATAATGCGATACTGTCTTCTTTTTAAGAAATTGCGTTTGCAAAAAAAGAGACGTGTCTGTGTGTTCCCTCTCGCCCGACTGGACAATACCATCAACATAAGCATGGTAAGCATCGGTCCTTCTTTTCCTGCCTTTTACGTATTTTCCTTGTTATGCAAGCTCAAGACCCTGGAATGTATAGAAAATGTTGATCATGATCTTCAGTTGGAGGTCCGGTCGTTAAAATCATTTCGCTTCACTCTCGTCTCATCAATTTCTGTGACTGAAGGGAAAGCTTTTTCTGTATGGAGGTCCGTTTGTCGCGATATCTTTTTGCTCCTATATCTTCCCAATGCATCAATCCCTGTATTACTGGCTGTTCTATGACATGAGACCTCTGCTTTACGACTCTAACCCCGCAGGCACTGTAGACGGGGTTGTTGACTTGTGGGTGAGAGCCTGGATAGTAGCACAGAAACTCAAAGGAAGCTGACCCATAGGCTCTTTTATTGATTATTTCGGCCACTTGGGTGCCTTGTGAGTGTGTGATGAGTTGAGTACATTGCATGTTGACATGGTGCTAGCTGTAAGCCACGACGAGTAGAAACGGGGGCCTCATTGCCGTAAATTTACCGGACTACGACATACATGGGCCTTTCTGTGCTATCTGAAAAGGTATGCGGATCCGACGCCGGTTTCCGGTCACCCTGCGCCTAATTGAGAAATGCTGCATATGCTAGTCAGAGAATCGAGTGGACAAGTGAGGTCGAGTGGTGAAGGGCAAAAGGTGTCGCAGGTCCGCCATTGGGCAGCGCGCTACAGAATGCCACGCTGATCGTCGGCCCTAGCGGACGGGTCCGCACATGGTTTCGGCGGCTTTTTTTGAAACGGCCGAGTGCCTGAGGTATCTTCTGGAAGACGAAGCTCAGATGGGTTCGCTAAAGTGAATGGCGAGTCAGGATGGTCGCGGACAGTTGTTGGAGTTTGAAGGGCATTCAATGCTGCGGGTACTCCCCTTTCTCCATCTCGCTGTGACGCCGACACGAGTGAAAGGAAAGATCAGCCATAATGCACTAGGTATTTGGCGTGATGGTATCAAAAAAGTCGCGGTCAAGATGATGTGAAGGCAAGGACGCTACTGACGAAGCTACTGAGCTCTTAGCATGCGATGATGCCCACAGTGGGGCGACCGAAATTCGCCTCTTTCTTCCCTAACTCGCATCTGCGCGAGCCAGTACCGAACACTGACGGAGATTTACATACCGGATTGGGAATTCGGATGGCTCTTAGGTACCGCGACCCTTGGATTGTCTTTATCCGAGGAACTACTCGGAGCATGTCAATGTCATGGGTGCAGCAGCAAGCTCCCGTGATATCCGTTTCCAGTGTGACAAACGTCTTAGGTGGTGCTGGGTACGTACTCCGGGTCAAGCCAACTTACTCGAACCGGGCGGCCGTGTGGCAGTGTGTAATTTCTCGGATGCATGGCTGGGCAGCCCTCCCACCGCTCTTTCGGCTGCTGGCAGCAGCAACGAGGGGCATCGAAGGCATCACGGCATCGACGACATGGGCGATGCTTGATCAGGTGGACATGTGCATACTGGCTAGGCGGCGCTTCGGAGCATCGCTCACCGTAATACAGGCTTCAGAAGCGACAGTGCTGTGGCGCGCCTTAGGGCAGCACAGTGGCTACGCTTTTTTTTCTCTTTTGGTGACGTGGGACAGGCTCAGGACCGGCGCAATGGTAAGCAACAAGCAAAGTCCGGTACATGGTCCTTCACGCGGGCCACACGCACGTGTGTGCCCCATTGCGGGCGTCCATCGCTTACGCTACTCGACCGGGAAATTCCACACTGGGCTGCAGCAGTTTCTGGGATGATCTGACCATGGCCATGACAAGAGGGGAATGCTGCTGCATGTACGCGTAGAGGACTGCATACGTGCGTAGAGGGTAGCAGGGCGTTTCCTGCAGGCTCTCTGACACAATCTCACTCCACTCGTACAGTGCAGAGTATGTAAGGCCCGTGGATAATAGCCCCGGATCGGGGCGGGATATGCAGGCAGACGCAGAGCAGCCAGAGTCTCTGATATCATACGTACCCGTCGACAAGCGCCTCGTCCCCTCGGCCATGATGGACTCGCATCAGAAACAGCCGCGGCGGCCAATGGGCCTCGAGCGTCTCACCGCCTGGACTCGAGTTTTGCTACGAACTGTCAGGGGGAACCGGTTGCAGGCAGGCCGCAGTCGCGCCCCCGAGTCGTACCGCTTCCAGAGCCTCGCCCAAAAGGCAAGCCGCAGCTTGAATTTGCATCCGTCATAGCTTCTGACGACGGCGATGGAGTGCGGCAAGCTCTTGGCCAAAGGCCTCGAGTAACTAAGCAAGCGCACCCGAATACGCGACGACAAGAAGCCTGAGGTGTCGTGTCGTGTCGTGTCGTGTCGTGTCGTATTATGCCGTTCAGGGACAGGCACATTGGACACGACAGCAGTTGACTCACCATCAGAGCGCCCATGAAACAGTGGCTTGCTGCGAGCAATTGGGTCTCATGCAGCTTCAAGAACAAAGACTTGCTTCGATCGCTCGTCTCCTTCCGAGATGGATGGTAGATGATTCCCAGGGCTGAAGCAGACCCTGGTCGCTCAAAATGCAAGGTAGTAGGTAAACGGCCCGCCACTCTGGGTCGCCGAAGCGGGCAGCATTTTGCTGAGCACGCTCCTCTTTTCAACCGTCCGGCACCAGTCTTTGTACCCTGCGCAAATGACAGTACCGCAAATCCACGGTTGCTTCGTCGCGACTAGCATCCGCCGGGCCCTGGCAAGAGAGTGAGAAAATAAAAATGACTAGCCCAGATGGAGAGAGAGACAAGGCTGATTGACAATGTCCCATTTCTGCTCCTCATCGGCCCACTTTCTTACTTGCCTTTTTCCATGTTCACGCCCTCCTCAAGCAAGCAATTCTGCAGCACACTCGGCGCGTGTCATCATGTACACGCATATGTACTAATTACAGGCCTAACAGTATGTAAGTCAGTTCTCGCATCATGATGCTACTGGATAGTCATGGCCTGTGGCTGCCAGCAGGCTTGGGCCCTTTGGCAAGCTAAGCCCACGATAAAACCCACTACTCGCCTCCCCGTCCCTACCTTCACCTCCCCGACCACCATATCCCTACCGCTTGCAGCAGTACGCTTTCTGGCGCCGGGGGCTGGTGTGGGTCTATGCCACTGCTGTCAATGTCCCTAGTGTGTCTCCAGCAGTGACCCACAAACGTCTTTTACACGCTTCTAAATCCCTTCTACGCCTTCCATCACTGAGCCACCTTTCCACCTCACTCTCTCACCAAAATCTCATGTTCAGTCGTTGACGTCTTGTTGACCATGGGTAATCCAGAATTCGGAAACAGAGGACCAGGTGCACCGTCCGGGCACGGCAAGGCACTCCAACCAACAATTTCATCTCAATCCTCCAGGACAACAGACGCGAGCAAGAACAACCAACACCCCGCCATGGCGACCATTGCAGACGATGACGACCGTCTTCTCGTACGCATTGGATATGCTCCTGTAGGTGCCATGTTGTCTGGTCTCGGTTCAAACTCCAATCTCACACTGCCCGCAGGTCCTCCAAAGACATTTCTCAAGATGGTCCACAGTCTCATATGCCATTTCCATTCTCGGAGTGCTAGGTTCAGTGCCTGCTACCTTTGGAGCTCCAATGTCATCAGGAGGTCCAGCAACAGCCGTCTGGGCCTGGTTCATCGGTAGCATCATGGCATACTGCATCGCCAGCTCAGGTATTATACTCCAACTTGTCTCTTCACCGCTGAAGCTAACAAACCTCCTCCTCAGTTGCCGAACTAGTCTCAGCATACCCTACAGCCGGAGGAATGTACTATGTCACAAAACACGTTGTGCCCCCCGAGCACGTCGCCGCCTGGTCGTGGATCATCGGATGGTGCAACTTCCTCGGTCAAGCCGCTGGTGTCGCTAGTTTGGCATACACCATTTCGCAAATGATCTTGGCAACAGCAGTCATGCACACCTTGGATGGTGCGGGGCCAGTCTTTGAACCGTAAGAGTAACACACCATTCTAGGCCACACACAGTAGTAGCTTACCGATCAATGCAGGAAAGCTTACCAGACGGTGCTCCTTGCCATTTTTGTGCTCTGCATGTTTGGCGCCATCTGTTCGTTCCCCACGAATTGGCTGCACCGCATTATCCTGTGGTTCGCCCCGATCAACAGTACGTTCGCCTAACATGTGTTCGCGTTTATAGTGGTGGTGGTGGTCGTCGTCGTGGTTTTGCGGGGCACAAAAAAATAGAAGCTGACAGTAAGCACAGTTATTGCATCAATCTGCATCTGCATCGCCCTGCTCATTCTCACGCCCAATAAACAAAGTCCCAAATGGGTTTTTACTACCGTCACGGACGGCTCCGGATGGGGTAGCCAAGGTTTCTCATTCCTTCTCGGGTACGTTCGTATCGGTACTAAAGGGTTTAAAAAAAGTAATATGGAACTAACTTGTGTCGTGCAGCTTCCTCTCGGTTGCATGGACCATGACCGACTACGACGGCACTACGCAGTAAGTCAGCCCTATGGAAAGCCCCAGACACGCATGCATGTATGCTAACCCTAGTTTCCTTTGTACAGCATGTCTGAGGAGACGCACGATGCCGCCATCCGCGGTCCCGTGGCGATTCGAGCTGCAATCCTCGTGTCCGGTGTCGTCGGCTGGATGCTAACCGTAACCTTTTGCTTCTGCATGTCCGACTACGACGCCATCATGTCGACGCCGACTGGCCTGCCCGTGGCCCAGATTTTCTTCAACGCAGGCGGTAAAACCGGTGGAACCATCATGTGGTTTTTTGTCATGCTGGTCCAGTTCTTCACCGGATGCTCGGCCATGTTGGCTAATGCACGCATGGCCTGGGCGTTTGCCCGCGATGCTGCGTTTCCTTTTTCAGAGTAAGTTCTTTTTTATGACTCCCTTTGCAACGAACCAAACCGCTTACATTGTTTTTCCCTTTGAAGTTTCTGGAGCAAGGTTAATACGCATACGCATACGCCCGTCAACGCTGTCTGGCTCGTCGTCGTCTTCTGCAGCTGCCTTGACCTCATCGGTATCGGAAGCACACTAACCATCACCGCCATCTTCAACATCACCGCGCCCGCCCTCGACATTAGCTACATCGCTGTCATCATTGCTCACCGATGGTATGAAGGCCGCGTCGTCTTCCACCCAGGCCCGTACTCCATGGGCAAATGGAGCAAGCCCGTCAACGCCATCGCCGTCACATGGGTCATCTTCATCAGCGTCGTCCTGTTTTTCCCGACCGTCCGCCCGCTACGTGTCGACAATATGAACTACGCCATTTGCGTCGCCGCATTCATCGGCTTCTTTAGTACCGTCTGGTGGTATGCAGGTGCGCGAAAGAAATACACAGGACCCAGGACCAGCGATACGATTGATATGCTACCACCTGAGGACCCAGAGGAGATTTTCAACGACTACGATAGTCCGTAGACTGCGCTCTCTCTCTCTCTCTCTCTCTCTCGACTTTTCCTTTCGACTCCCTTTTTTTTACATCTCGATCGCGCGCATACTGCCAGGTGCGGATATCTATCTGGCTTTTTCCCAACGACCTTCATTACGACTCCCTACGCCACAAAAGGGGGTGGAATCCGTGTATATTCTTTTCTCCTCCACCCCAGGCGGTTTTTTTTTGCTCATACATCATCATATTTTGGGCGTTTTGTTTTCCGGCGGTAAAGTCCACTTGGACGGTTCGACATTCGTTGTCTTCCAAAAATGAGGTAAGTATGCAAAAGGATCTAGACATGTTTTTTTTATTATTATCACATACTGCTTCGTTTGCAGTTCGTATATTCCCCCTTCACCACACCCCCCGCCTTCCCTTTTTTGGGTTTCTATTTCGCACACGGCCCGCTTTTTTTGTTGTTGTTGTCAAAGCAAAGTAAAGCAAAGCACAAAGTTATCGTATAGATCGAAAGATACCCCCTTTCTTTTTTTTTTAAATTGTTTGTTGAGAATAGTACTTTTATATAGTGTTTACGTGGCAAATACATTGTATTAGTTCTTCATGTTTTTCTTCTAATAATGTGTGGTCTTTTCTAAGACGTACATGTATGTTTTGGTGGTTTATGCGACTACTAACTAACCTGGACTAAATATTTGCTTTTGTGTGGGTGTGTTTACCGGTTCAATATTGCTTTTTTCCCGTTTTTTCTTGGCTTTGCCACCTTCCCGCCTTCCCCCCCCCTTCCTCCCCGCACCACAATCCTATAGTTTACAGACTCCTATTTGTTCACATCGTTCCTCTATCCATCTTACGATACCCCCCCGCTCTTCCCTCTCCCATTCTCACTGCTCGTCTTTTCTCCTTCTCCCAAGCTTTCTCCCTTATCTCCTCCACAAACCCCTCAACACTAATCACACACCGATTTGCAAATCCCCCCTCCCCACATACACTTGCATGTGCATAGCAAGCGCAAACGCAACATGTGTATCTTTTCCCTTTTTCTCGCAGGATGGGGGCCGCGTGTGTAGGTGCATTGGATTGTACCGTTGGAGGCGGTTGAGGTGGGGGGGGGAGGGTTGAGTAGATAAGTGTGAGCGGGCGGGTGGGCAGGAAAAAGAGAGGGATGCATATGCAACAAGTGGGAAAGATGCGAGTTAGAGATAGCAAAGAAAAAAAGAGAGGAGACGGGAAGCGGGGAGAGAAGAAAAAAAAAAGAGAAAAAGAGAAAGGATGTGCGTGTGCATGCAGTTTACTTTCTGCAATCTAGTATATACCAGTGTGTGAAGGAAAGTGCGTAGTACGCAGACTTACTAACCCTCCCTTTTGTTAACTTCCGTTGCATTGTTGAGGGATCTTCACAGTTGGTAAATGTGTTGCTGTGTTCATCACTTGTACGTTTTTTTGGACAGGTTACGTGGATGGGACTTTTATGGAACAGCGACTGTATACGTGTATGTGTGATGGGGATTGATACATGTGACTTGTGATGAGGGGGAGAAGCTGTTGTATCGTGTCGTTCGTGCATATGTCTGGAGAGTTTACAACGCGTGGTTGGGAGTAGCTTATAGACTCGATGTAGTAGGCAGA